TACTCCTGCCTTGGGCAATGTGTAACTGCCTGATAGTTTCAGGGAAGCTGGAACTCAGGCCTTCTAGTTTAGAGGGGAAACTTAAAGCCTGTCATGGAGTCAGTTTGGTTTAGATGTTTAGACTTGTGTCCTTACAGTGTGATAACTGGAGGAGTACAAATACATTACAACCAAGGAATCTTTTCTCTAGTTCACAGATTCTAGGAGGTTTATGATGCCCTTTTCAATCATATACAGAAGCAGAGACAAATGCCATTAAAATTTAAAATTCCTGTTTCCACAGCCAAAACTTTGGTTTCTCATTTTAGTCTTCTTAGGAGATAAACTGTCTTTCACGAGTATATTCCTGGTGTCTAAAAGAATCTAGTAAAGAGAAGATTCAGTAAACAATTGAATGAATAAGTGAATATTGAAGGAGACATTCTTGACAAGGTGTGAGACACATATATTACAGAAATGCCAAAACTACCATGTTGAATTTCTCAGCTGGGATAGTGATCATGAGCTAGGGAATGTTGAAGAGTAGGAAGTTAGAGAGACATCACCTAAGTCATTTATCTCTGAAAAATGTTGTCTGATATCTCTCCCATATACTTAGAACAGAACAAAGCAGTGGCCCAAGATTTTCTTGTATATATTGGAAACTCATGATTGGCCATGCAGTCTTCCTGGGTTAAGGCATGTATAATCAGTTCCCCTAAACTAAAAACGCATACTGCTTTCAACAGCCAGATCCTCCAAAAGTTTTTGAGAATTCCTCTCTCTCTCCATTTATTTTTTACTCTTTCTCTTTCACTAATTGAAACTGTTTATAAAAGCCTTTTCTTCCCATAACTAACTCTCTTACCCACTTCTACTTGTAAAGTAATAGGCCACTGTTGAATTGAAACACATTTCATATATGGCATCATAGCAAGTTTTTGTACCAAATATTCTTACTGTTAGATCAAGTATGATTATTTCTAATGTGGTCTGAAAAATTCTTTTTTTTTTTTCTCTTTTTTCTGAGATAGCAGTCTCATCTTGTGGTCATATAAATGATACACTTTTAAAGAGTTTTATAATTTGAGTATGAAAAGATGATACTACTTCCTTATTTTCCCATTCTATTCTTTGTTTCCTTCATTCATCTGAATAACACATATGCATATGAATTAAAAGCTTTCACACAAGTTACAGTCTTTGCTTTAAGGCCTACTACTTGCTGAAGTTTCTTGGTTTTGTTAAGAGCAAAGGAGCAGAACAATTTTGTAGCAACTAATTGCCTATAGCTGTGACACATAAATGATTTGAGCCCATTCCCATTCCCAAAGACTATGCACACATTTTCCTAAGAAATGAAATCTAACAATCATATATCTTTTTTCTATATGAATTTTGGAAATCAATATTTCCTAATATGCAAAGAAATTCTAAAGACTGGATGTTTTAAAAAGGTATTTCTTAAAAAAAAAAGGTATTTCTTTTTCTTAAAAATTTTTAATGCTTACTTATTTTTGAGGGACAGAAAGAGTATGAGCAGGGGAGGGGCAGAGAGAGAGGGAGACACAGAATCAAAAGCAGGTTACAGGCTCTGTGCTGAAAGCTCAGAGTCTAGAATTTACAAACTATGACATCATCACCTGAGCTGAAGTCAGACACCTAACCTACTGAGCCACCCAGATACCCCATAAAAAGGCATTTCTTTGATTCATCTTTCAAATATGTGGTGTAAAATTTTGAAGCATTTCACTAAACTGTTTATTATCCATGATTTGAGAGAAAAATGTTGCAAATTTTTGCCTCAGTAAGGGTTTTTATTGTACTTACCAACAAAATGAGCCAAATACCATTTTTCATTTTGAGCTCATAATTTTTGAGAACCTAGAATATAGAAAATGTAGTTGTGTTGTGGGAAATTAGGAAGTTGGGTAGGTTTGTGATGTCAGAGAACTCAAGAGCTTAAGGTTATAAAGCTAAGATAATATAATAAGGAATTGTGAAAACAGCAAATGATGCCAACTTTCTGTTGTGGCTAACAGGACCTGGACTGTGCATTGTTCATGAGGTCAATACAGACTGCACAGCCTTGGATCCCCTTTTTAGGATGGTTGAATAATTTTTAACCAATTAAAAGTTAAAAAGAAAAATGACAACACAACAAAATTTCTTAGAATACAAAAATATGTCTGGTATTGTAAATTCAAGTTTTCACTACAATTGTCCTGAAATCATAGCTTTAGTTTGTTTTGTTCCCTCTTAAGATTCAAGTACATCCAAAAAATAACATAAAAATATATTTAAAAATTGCTATAGTATATTTTTAATTTTAATTTATTTTGAACTTTAAAAATTATAATTTCAAACAAAAAAAGAATGATGGATTAGAAAGAGATATCTGAAGTATAAATTTGGCATTGTTGATGACAACATAGTGTGATACTTAAATGTTTTTTATGGATTATAAAGCACACCTACTTAATGTTTTCATTCTAACCCTTGTATATAAGACCTGCATAGGGGTGCTTGGGTGGCTCAGTTAAGCAGCTGACTTTGGCTCACGTCATGCTCTCACACTTCCTGGGTTTGAGCCCTGCGTCTGGCTCTGTGCTGACAGCTAGCTCAGAGCCTGGAGACTGTTTCATATTCTGTGTCTCCCTCTCTCTCTGATCCTCCCCTGCTCACGCTGTCTCTCTCTCTCTCTCAGAAATAAATTTTAAAAAATTTTAAAAAAAGATCTGTGTATCTTTAATCTCTTTGTAATTGAGTTTCAAAGAGATAGATAGGTATAGATCGTGCAGCTAATTATGTTATTTTATAGTAGCTTTGTTCTGTAGTTCCCTGAGTATAAATTAGATGAGAACAGTAGCAACATATATTTTGAGAATTATATAGGAAATAACAGCAATTAAAATAAAAGCTACTGGATACAATTTAATGTTTCTTTAAAATTTGTGTTTCATTGCGGGGATATAAACAAAACCCAGATGAAATCATGAATGTTTCAAATACCATCATAAAATGAAACATTTTAATATCTTCATAAGACATTTCAAACAATTGAGAGATATTAACGATTTGGTCATTTACTATTTTTTTATTACATTCATAATATCATGTCTAAGCTTTTCATTTGTACTAATAAAAGTTGATTTCATTTGCCTGTAACTACAATAAAAATACTTTTTCCACAAAATGTGCAAGGATTTTAGCAATTAACTAGAAAACTTTTTTTAAAATTGAGCATGTACAGGGATGTCTGGGTAGCTCTGTAGGTCAAGTGTCCAACTTTGGTTCAGGTCATGCATGATCTCACAGTTTGTTAGTTTGAGCTCAGAGCTGGGCTCTATGCTGACAGCTGAGAGCCTGGAGCCTGTTTTGAATTCTGTGTCTCCCTATCTCCCTGGCCTTACCCTGCTTGCACTATCTCTGTCTCTCTCAAAAGTAAATAAACTTTTTAAAAAAAGAGCATGTACAAAGATAAAAACAAACAGAGACAAAACAATATGTCAAGACCACCACGGCACATCCAAGAGCACCAAGATGTATTGTATAATTCACCAAGGATAGCTAAATTTAAATATTTGCCATTGATTTCCTATTAGAATCATGTGACCTGGAAAATGCCAAATGTAAAGATACTGTAAGACTTGTGAAATCTTGTTCTGTTGCCAAGATATACTCCATGGACCGTTCTAGATAGAATTTCTTAAATTGGGTAGTATTGCTATTTTTATTTTATTTATTTATTTTTTAATTTTTTTTAATGTTTTATTTATTTCTAGGAGAGAGAGAGAGAGACAGCGTGAGCAGGGGAGGGTCAGAGAGAGAGGGAGTCACAGACTGAAACAGGTTCCAGGCTCTGAGCTGGCAGTCAGCACAGAGCCCAACGCGGGCCTCGAACCCACGAACCGCGAGATCATGACCTAAGCGAAAGTCGGACACTTAACCGACTAAGCTACCCAGGCGCCCCGGTATTGCTATTTTTAATTATGAAACAATTACTGCAAGCTAGGAAGAGGTGGATGAAATAAGACACTAATAGATAATAATAAAAAATGATTTTCTTTTAAGAGGCTAAAAAACTTAAAACTGCCATGATATATCACAGAATTGTTACAGAGAAAAGAATTTGAGTACTCTTTCATGTCCTCATGAAACGTAAACACAATCTAGCTGCTTTGGCCTTCTGGCTCCCTGACCTCTCCTCAAGGCTAGGAGAAAGTCAGGATCCCCTTGTGTTCTCCTACCTGCCCTCTAGCCTGGTAACTCTCCCGGTGGTAAGCTGGGGCAAAAGTAGAGCTTACATTGCTTGTTTCCAATCCTGTTGTGTGTAAAGCTGTAGGCAGAAATTTCAGTAGTCACTGATGTATAATAAAAATGGAAACTCTTTCCTGTGGGGGATAAATTCAATAATACAGTGTATACCTTCTATACAGCAATAACAATAATACAGTAATAACCTTACAAATATACCACACATTCACTTTCCTTTTGGTAGCAATTGCATAAAATAAAATTTTCCATCATTCCTGTTTGTGTGTGTGTGTGTGTGTGTGTGTGCGTACGTTTGTGCGCGCATGCACGCATGTGTATGAAATCAGTGTCAGTGTTTAAAAACAAAGTATATTTTTAAGTGAGTAGACATGAAGTAAATTTGATAAAGATTTTAAAATTTGACAATAATTGTAACATTACCAATAATAATGTGTGAAGCTAAGAGAAGCTTTTCTATACTATTAAAAACAAACAAACATGGTCTCTCAAAAATCAAACTTCTTAATCAACCATGATTACTAGATGGAAAATGGAATTTTCTTTCTATTCTTTTTAAGGAAAAAAATAACAGTATCTTATTAAGAGATGACTAAGAATTATGCTACCAAAAATATGGCAACAGTCACCAACTATGTATAAATGGGCACAAAGATTAGGAGCAAGGAAGTGCCTATAGAAGAAAGTGTGAACTTTTTTAGAATTCAACACTCTAACGACCTTAATGATGAGTCTGTCTTTCACAGATGACAAGCACCATGGTAGAATAAAAAGATTTTAGACAGTAATTGGGAGCTGTATGAAGAACTATGATCTCAGGTAAGATAAACATATGGACAATTATAAAAGATAGTTTCATTGTAACAGCATTTGTAATCTCACTTTTTGTTTTCTATATTATTTAAGATACTAATGCATTTAAAAAATATTATTACTTAAAATTTTTTTAAAGTTTATTTTTTAGACAGAGACAGAGTGAATGGGGGAGGGGAAGAAAGAGAGGGAGATAGAGAATCCCAAACAGGCTCTGTACTGTCATTGTGGAGCCTGATGTGGGGTTCAAACTCACCAACTGTGGTATCATAACCTGAGCGGAGACCAAGAGTTGGATGCTTACCCAGGTGCCCCATGAAAAGAATTAATAATTTATGTTTTACAACACATGTCTATAGTTGTAATTTTGTGATATCAACAAACAAAAAGGATGGGGAGAGAGTTGTAAAGGAATAATTTTGTATGTTATTGAAATTAAGCTGCTATAAATCCAAATTGGAGTGTTATAACAAAAGGATGTTAAATGTATCCACATAGTAACCACAAGAAAAAAAGGAGCTATAGAAGATACACAATAGGAAATGAGAAAGGAATATAAATATTTCACTAAAAATAACTAACACAAAATAGTCATATAGGAACTGAGGGACAAAAATACTATAAGGCTTCTAGAAAACAAAGAGAAAAATAATAAAATTTAGTCCCTCCTTGTCAGTAATTGCTTTAAATATAAATGGATTAAACATTCTAATCAAAAGACCATGATTGACAGAATGGATTAAAACATTTGATCCAACTATATGCAATCTGCAAGAGACTTATTTTTTTTTTAAATTTATTTTTTTACAAGATTCATTTTAGATGCAGATATACAAAGAGATTGAAAGTGAAAATATGAATAAAAATATTCCATACAAATAGTAACCAAAAGAGCAGAAGTGGCTATTGTAATAGCAAGCAAAATAGACTTTAAAACAAACCAAAACAAACAAGAGACAAAGAAGGACATTTTATATTATTAAAAGGTTCAGTACAGCAAAGATATATAACATGTACCTAGTAATACAACATAAAACTATATGAAGGAAAAACTGACATAATTGAAGGGAAAAAATATATCTAAAATAATTGCTGGAGATTTTAATACACTACCTTAAGTAATGGATAGAACGACCAAATAGAAGACAAGAAAGAAAATAGAAAATTTAACAACACAATATATCAACTAGATCACAATATACCAACTAGATTTAACCAACAATAGCATACACATTCTTATGAAGTACATATGGGACATTTTCCGGGATAGATAATATATTAAGCCACAAACTAACTCTCAATAGCCTTAAAAGAGACAAGATGTCTTCTCTGACCACAGTGAAATGAACTTAAAAAACAATAACAGAAGTAAAATAGGAAATTTCACAAAATTTTGGAAATTAATATGCTCTTAAATAACCAGTTGATCAAAGAAGAAATTAAAAGTAAAACTGGAAAATATTTAGAATTTAATGAAGATGAAAATACAATATACTAAAACTTGTGGGATGCAGTGAAAGAAGTACTAAGGAAGAAATTTTAGCTATAAATGGTTAGATTTAAAAATATGGCAAAATCTCAAATTAAAAACTGAACTTTACAACTTAAGGAACTAGAAAAAGAAGAGCAAACTAAACTCTAAGTAGTTGAAAGAAAAAAAATATAAAGATTAAGGTAGAGGTAAATGAAGCAAATAATAAAAACAATACAGAAAAATAAAAGAAACCAAAAATGGGTTCTTTGAAAAGTTCAACAAAATTGACAAACTTTTAGCTATATGAATTAAGATAGAAAGGACAACTCAAATTACTAAAATCAGAAATGAGAACCAGGATATTACTACTGAGTCCATAGAGATAAAATGGATGATAAGCTAGTACTTTTAACATTGCACACAAGGGACACCTGGGTGGCTCCAGTGGTTGAGCATCTGACTCTTGATTTCAGCTCAGGTCATGATCCCAGGATCATGGGATTGAGCCTTGCATTGGGCTCCACACCAAGCATAGAGCATGCTTGGGTTTCTCTCTCTCTCACTCTTTCTCTCTCCTTCTCACCCTCTGGCCCTTCCCCACTCAGTCTCTCTCTCTAAAATAAAAGAAAATAAAATAACAAAAAACCCAATTGTATACCAGAAAATTAGGCAAGCTAGATAAAATGGACAAATTCCCAGAAACATAAAACTTGCAAGACTAAATCATGAAGTAGAAAATATCAGTAGAGCTGTAACCAGTATGGAGATTGAATTAGTAATAGAAAATCTCTCAACAAAGAAAAGCCTTGGATCTCAAGGTTTCACTGATGAATTCTGCTAAACATTTAAAGAAGAACTGATACCAATTCTTCTCAAAGTTTATTTAAAAACTGAGAAAGAGGGATCACTTCCTAATTCATTCTATGAAGCTAGCATCACCTTGACACCAAAACTGAACAAAGACACTACAAGAAAACTATAGACCAATATCCTTTATGAATATTGATTTCAAAATCCTTAACAACATTCTAGCAAACAAAATTCAACAGCATATTTAAAAATTATATACTATAAGCAAGCAAATTTGTTTCGAGAATGCAAGAGTGCTTCAACATACAAAAACATGATCAATGCAATATACCACATTAACAGAGAAAAAACCACATGTAACAGAAGAAAAACCTACACTGATCATTGCAATTGATGCAGAAAAAGCATTTGACAAAAATTCAACATCCTTTTATGACAAAAAAACTAAAAAAACCCAAGAATAGAAAGAACCACCCTCAACATAATTGAAACCATATATTAAAAACCCACAGCAAATGTCATATTAAATCTTGAAATACCAAAAGCTTTTCCTGTGAGATCAGGAACAAAGCAAAGAAGTCTCCCTTCGCTACATCTATTTAACATAGTACTGGGAGTTCTAGCCAGAGAAATTAGGCAAGATAAAGAAATATAAGGTGTCTAAATTAAAAAAATAAGAAGTAAAATTGTCTGTGTTCATGGATATGATCTTATATATTGAAAACTCTAAAAATCCCCCCTCAAAATGTTTGAATTAATAAATAAATTCAGCAAAGCAGCAGGATATAAAGTCAACCCACAAAAATCAGTTGTAGTTTTGTACAGTAACAATGAATTATATGAAAACAAAATTACAAAATCAATTCCATTTATAATAGCATCAAAAGAATTAGTACTTAGGAATTAACTGAGGAGATGTAAGTCTTGTATGAAAACTATAAAACATTGCTGAAAGAAATTTAAGAAGACACTAATAAATCGAAACTCATTGCCCATCAACAGAAAAATGAAGAAATCAGTTTTGCTGTGCTCAAAGAATGGAAAATTACACAGTGATGAAATAGGATAAATTGCAGCTACACATGGTGATACGGATAATGCTCAAAGTCATAATGCTAAGTGAGAGAATTGGGACCAATTGTTTCTGTATTATTTCATTTTATATACATATTTAATTTATACAATTATGGAGAAAAACAAAGGAGTGATATGCAGTTAGAAACATAATAACTTTTGGGATAAGAGAGAAGTTAATAATTTGGAATGTGAAAATATTAAACTTCTAGAGTATTGACAAAGTTTCATGTCTTGCTTGGATACTGGTTACATGGGTTTCTACTGTAAAAGAAAGCATTAAATCCTCATTGTTTTGTCTTTATCGAATTTTTAAATGTTTTATTTTTCACATGTAAGTGAATTAAATGGAGAAATACTTTCCTAAAAATTATGTGAGATAAACTTTGAGATATAAAGAACAGATCAAAAATTAAAAATATAATACAAGCTTCAGAAACAGATAATACTAAAAAGAAAGAAATATCAAAGGTCATTTACCAGACTGAAGAAAGTTACAAGTCTTTTGGTCAAATTGCAAATCTCATAAAACTAAATCAAGTCTTAAACCTCTTGCTTCCTTCCGCGTAGGGGCCTCTTAAAAAAGAAAACAGATTATCAGGCCAAGAAAGTGTGGTCACTACTGGATACTAAGTGACTGAAAAGTGAATAAGTACTGACCATAATTTGGCAACATTTTTCTTTGTTATTTATAGGAATACAAGGTTGAGAAATGCTTGGCCAATTGGGGGATGGGCATTTGCAAGGAGGAACGACCTCAGATGTAAGGACAGTACCTGTCAAGTAACTTTTAAGCTCTCCTTACAGCTTCTCACTTCCCTTACTCTGTCTTCAGAGAAATGGAAACCCTAGGATAGGTGATAGATAAATATTAAGAAGCATTGTCTCATTGTGAAAATTTGAGTTTTATATTTGAATATTTTAGACTGTAAGAGAATGAGCTTCTTGACGGTTAGGGACATTTCTGGATTGTTTCGTGAGCTGACATCTGGAACACAGTAGATTTTTCAGAATATAACTTTGTGGAAATAACTACATCGGTGATATGGTTATGAAGAAGATGACAATATGACAACCCAAAGGACACTACTCTGAAATAAGAATTAATTTGAGATGAAGATATATGAGAATCAACAAATACAAGAGAGTTTCTCTAAACTTCCCTTATCTGGCTAAAAAGAGAGCTTAAAAAACACAAAATCTCAATGATTTAATTATATAAATCTGCTCTCTGGGAACGACATCACCCAGGGAATATTGACTCTTCTCACAGGAGATGAGATAAAAAATTCACACTGGTCCAACAGAGACATTGTTACAAACTATCCTTCCCATCTACTCTCATAAGAGCCCATTTATCTTTCCTAAAAATCATTTGATCTCCCATATGTAGCCTCCCTCCCAGTCCATTTCCCCTATTAAAAGTTAATAAATTTGTATGCCTTTTCTCTTATTAATCTGCGTGTTGTTAGTTTAAGTCACCATACCCCTCAGTTATGTACTACAGAGGATCAAGGAAATGTTTTTCCTCTTCTACACTTCAGAACTCTAAAACCTCGTTAAAAATAATGAATAAACTGTTTATACCTGTAAGTGATAAACCATTTGTATGAAAAATTTTGCATGTAAGTTTGCACATTTGTTTGTATTTGTACTTTCTTTTCTGAATAACTGCAGAAATAATTACAGACAGCATATTTTGCATTACTTTTGCTTTATGGAGTAATGGTTTCCAAATGTAATCTAATTATTTCATCTTAATGACTTCAAATTTGTGTACACCTTTCACAAAATAAGGATTGTAATTATACAAGTATTTGTAGAGATTTAATTTTATCAGACTTACTGCTTAATCATTTCTTTAATTATGATTAAGTTAACCATATGTTACACTCCATAAATGACACACTAACTTAATGACAAGCAATATTGCTTGTTTAGAGGTGTATGAGAATAAAATGCAAGAGCCAGCTTTGAAGGAAGAAAAAGACTGGTTAGCTAACCTTCTGTTAACACTTAACATAGCAAATGCCAATGAGTCCTGGCAGTAATTTAGTTCATTTTTGAAAACTGATAAGTATTAATACTCTGGATACTTTAAACTATTCTAGTTGGAGTTCAAATCTGAAATAGCCTGTGTCTCTTCTAAATTCCAAAATGCCCCTTACCTACTACCTAGCAATTGTACTACTGGGTATTTACCCAAAGGATACAAAAATACTGATTTGAAAGGATACATGCACCCAATGTTAGTAGCGCATTAACAGCAATACCCAAATTATGGAAAGAGTCAAAATGTCCACCGACTGATGAATGGATAAAGAAGAGGTATATTTAAATTATTTACATTCCCATGTGTGTATTTATTCATACTATGACCTGGTTCCATTAAAAAAAAAAAAAAAACGAATGACAAGATGCACTACTTTTTTATATTTATTTTAGAGAGAGAGAGAAGAGGACAGAGGATCTGAAGCAGGCTCTGTGCTGACAGCAGAGAGCCTAAAGTGGGGCTCAAACTCATGAACTGTGAGATCATGATCTGAGCAGAAGTTGGGTGTTTAACTGACTGAGTTACCCAGGTGCCCCAAGATGCTCTACTTTTCAGAAGTTGGAATCTGGAAGCAAATCTGAGTTTGAATGATCACTTCTGCCTATTGCAACTTAGGTAACATTGGCAAGTTACTATGAATATGCATTGGTTTCCTTATCTGTGAAATATAGGTTTTAATACTACCAAACTCATAGGTTTGTTTTGAAGGCCAAACAATATATTTGAGACCTCACTGAAATACTTCCTCCCCCCCAAAACTACAAAGTATAAGTAGTAGTAGTAGGATCCTATTTTCCTATAACCTAAAGCAACTTAAAATAAAATGTAATTTATTTACTTATGTTTGTTTATTTTGAAAGAGATAAAGAGAGAGGAAGAGGGAGAGGGAGAGAGGAGAGAGAGAATGTGTGTGGGGGAGGGGCAGAGAGAAAGGGAGAGGATCTCATGCAGGCTCTGTGCTGTCAGTGCAAGTTCCCTATGCAGAGCTTGATCACATGAACCAAGATCAACACCTGAGCCAAAATCAAGAGTCGGATTACTTAACTAATTGAGTGACCCAGGGTTCCTGTTTAATTTTTTTTTTAAGTAAAATATAATTTAAAGTGCAAATGCATGGAAATAACTTTCCAGGAATGTGGCTAAATTATATTCCAGTGCAAATTTTGTAGATACCTTTGTAACTTTTAATTGGCAATTTGATTTTTTGACCAATGGAAAGTGAGCAGAAGAGCATTTGTCGCTTTTGAGCAAAAGGCTTTAAAAGCTAGTATATGGTTTTCAACCTGCTGTCCCTTGGCACAGTGACTAATGGCGCTCCAGATCTAGAGGTTCTGTCAGACTGAGTTCTATGATGGAGAATAGCAAGAGTAACAAATGTTTATTGTTTTAAGTCAATAAGAATTGAGGTAGTTTGATTTTGGCTCATAGCCCAGCATGACATGATTGAATATATGTATATGTTGAAAGTTTAATTTTGTTCCCTGTGAAAAAGATATGCTGAGATCCTACCTTTCAGTACCTCTGAATGTGACCTAAGTTGAAAATATGGTTATGCAGATACAATGAAGTGAAAATAAGGACATATTGGATTAGGATGATCCTAATTCAATGACTGATGTTAAAGAGGAGAACTTGGATACAAAGACATACAAACAGAACAGATATGATTAAGCAGACAGAGAATGGAGGGTGCCGCTGGAAGCCAAAGAACATCATGGACTGTTGGCAGCCAAGAGAAGCTAGGAGAGGGCTATAGAAAACTCTCTTCCAGAAGGAAGCAACTTTACCAACCAACTCCTTCTTGATTTCATACTTCTGGTCTGCAGAACTGTGAGAAAATAAATTTTTGAAGTTTTTAAGCCACGTAGTTTGTGATATGTTGTTAAAGCAACCTTATCTATTTATCTAACATCTCTCTCTCTCTCTCTCTATATATATATATATATATATATATTCATCTATTCATCTATCCATTTCTCATTAGGAGTTCTCAGTTGTCAGTGTGCAGAAGATTCTTTAGGATTGCTTAATGATACACTGCCAGGGGCGCCTGGGCAACTCAGTTAAGCATCAGACTCGGTTTCAGTTCAGGTTATGATCTCCTGGTTCGTGAGTTCGAGCCCCACATTGGGCTGTGTGCTGACAGCCTGTTTGGGATTCTGTCTCTCTCCTCTCTGCCCACACCCCACTCATGCTCACTTGCTCACTCTCTCTCTTTGTCTCAACATAAATAAATAAAACTTTAAAAAATAATAAAAATTGGGGCACTGGGTGAGTCAGTTGGTTAAGCCTCTGACTTCAGCTCTGGTCATGATCTCGTGGTTCATGGGTTCAAGCCCTGCACTGGGCTCTGTGCTGACAGCTTGTAGCTCAGAGCCTGCTTTGAATTCTATGTCTCCCTCTCTCTCTGTCCCTCTGCTCATACTCTGTCTCTCTCTCTCAAAAATAAAGAAACATTGAAATAATAATAATAAACTGCCAGCCCAGATATTCTGATTCAGTTGGTCTTGACTGGGGCTCAAGGATATGGAGTTAATTAAATACCAGAAGTGGTTTTGATACTGCTGGTGTAGAGAAAACAGAATTAATGCCATGATACAATGTAGATTAGCTTGATTTTATTGGTGTTGAGTATATAAAGAATCTTGCAGCAATGGGATGTCATGAGTAAAGGTACTGTAGGAATAATATTCTAGATATCCCCAGAAGGAAAAATCTTGGTTGATGCTCAAGATGGTATTGTTGGTTCTACAAAAACAAGTTAGGAAAAGACTGAAATTCATTAAATACCTTGCTCTATGTTCCAATCTTAATCCAGAAGGCCTGGAAAGACATTCATTTTATTTTTTTATTTTGGGAGAACTGAAGGTGGTAATTTAGTAATTGAAGAATGCAGAGACAATCTTTATTGAGCAGGGGTGTTCCCCACATGTATACTGCACTGAAAAACTCTGTATTGCATTTCGTATTGGAAGTAAGACTGATGATCTAATTGTGAAGCAGTCTCTGGAACTAGAACAGATACATTAGATTTCAAAATTAGAGCTCTTTCTACAAAACTAAGTGCTTTGGTTACCAGGTGATTTTGTAGTTCAGGATAGATGATTTGATAGAGTTTAACAGAGGATTAATACCAACATAAAAGTGTGCAGGAAAAGAAAATAATATTCATCATATTTTGAATGTCAGCCATTTGCCAGCTACTGAACTAGGATTTTTAATTATAGAATCTTTAATGCTCACAATAATATTCCAAGGTGAAATCATATCTAATTCATAAATTCATTAATGTTTAGAAATTGAATACCTTGTCTAAGATAGCAAAGCAGTGATTTAAATCCATGTCTTAATTCCTCTAATCTTGTATTCTACGTAGTATTTTCATAGGGATATTTTAAATTCATTCCACGGCCATTAACTTTTGGCTTTTTAAAATGGATCCCTTTTAAAAATAGCTCAACTCATTGGGGGATATTTCAATATTTTAAAATATCCAATTATTGATTAATATTATTTTAGTAGAGGTTAAAATCTCCATATTTATGCTCTAGGGCATGAAAACTTGCCACACAATCTATCAAAAAGAGCTTGCCACGGGCAAGGATTTCTTTAAATCCCTGTGCTGTGATTTTCTTTCTTTCTTTTTTTTTTTTTTTTAACTTGGGCTAATTGTTCCTTTGCTCTTTAAATTTAATACCCCAACTGTGCTTTGAGTCAGTTTTTACAACTGTGCACAATTCCTCCACAGCAATGGAGTGGTATATTCAGTGTATATGTAGGTTACTGTAAAAAGTGTCTCAGAAGATAGGTTTGTAGGGTTCATTTTCAGTAAGATGGGTCTAACTTGCTGCTTGAAACTGACAATTCTGTGCCTAATTGAGCATGCAGTTACACTTCAATGCACTCTAGCATTTTCATGGAGTAGCTTAGACAGCAGAAAGCCCCAGGGCATTGAGCAGGGTTGGAGCAATGTAAGGAAATTTGGCAAAACCTTGTGAGTCTGCATTGAATTTCCACTTTAGCTACTACTCCCATTCTGCATTTTCTGGCTTTTTTTCATATCTGCATGTAATCAATCCAAAAGGAATAAAGTCTAATATAGGGAAATGATGTATTTGTAAAATAAGCATTATATAAGATTTACATAATTCCATATTATTGTCTCATTGTACTTGTAAAATGAACTCAGAAGTGCATATATAAAATTTGGTGAATTTTTCAGGTTCCTGAACTTTAGATAGCAGTAACAATTATTTCAGGTGAGACTTTCAGTTTTACTCCAGGACTGACAATATGAATCTATATGTCATTTGACATTTAGGCTCATTTATTTAACATTAGTTGCAAAGCACAAAACATTTGCTTATTCTATGAAATCACTTTGAAGAATATTTTAATTTACTGGGCAAAAAACATTGTAAAGCTGTAATAGTCTTCCTTACATATTTAGCTATTTTAAATATAAGGAAATAGACTTTTCATTAATCATGGAAAATTAATCACAAAAATATATCCAATCTGTCTTGAAGTTTCACTAAAATATGGAAAGAAATAAAAATGATAATAAAGCCTCATGGACAAAACAATAGGAGGTAGGAAATGAGAGTAGATAAGAAATGTCAATATATTGTAAATGGAAAGCAGATAGATATATTGGTAACTGACTACTTATGAAAAGTAGTCATACTTTTCATACTACAGTATGAAAAATGTTACAAATATAGTGCCCACAGAAGGCAATATCAAGAAAAAGATTGAGGGTCATCTGGGTGGCTCAGTTAGTTAAGCATCTGACTTTGGCTCAGGTCATGATCTCCTGGTTTGTGAGTTCGAGTCCCGCATCAGGCTCTACACTGACAGTGCAGAGACTGCTTGGGGTTCTCACTCTCTCCCTCTCTGCCCCTACCCCCCTTGCATTTTTTCTTCTTTCTCTCTCTCAACTCTCAAAATAAATAAATAAACTTAAAAAATGAAAAAAGAAGGTTGTTTCTTTCTTTAGAATCCTAGAAAAGTTTAGCAACTAGTGACACTAAGAACCTTAAAAGATTGTATCAAGTATGGGTATGAAATTAATCACTGCATGAGAGTCTGAAAGAAGCAGCTAAACTCTAGATCTCTACCACCTCTGCTGCAGGTTCATTGAGCTTCGTGTTCCATGCCACCCATCCAACCCTCTCAAAAGGTCAGAAAATTATTCCTTAGTCATAATTTGTAAAAATAAACCTAGAATTCTGGGAAGTCAGGGGTAAAAGTAGAAGTGTTTACATGAAAGCTTTCATATTGCATGGTGAGATCCTTCAGTCTAATTTTATTCTTTGGCAACTAGCATAGTAACCCCAGGCTTACAATTTAAGTTAGAAAAATTAGAGATTTTTTATGGCTAAACAAACTGGAAGAGGCAAATTTCCCATCCTACTACCCCCACCCCCCAAAATAAACCTTAAAGGAATAGTTGACATTACAGAATCTTCTTGAAGGGCTAGTCAAGCAGTAGGTAAATTCTTATTGTAAAAGACCAGATAGCAAATATTGTAGGCTTTGCAGTCCAAAAGGCAAATTGGAGGTGACCTTATAATATATGTATATGTTCTCTATATATTTTTATATGTTATAATTACATATGTATAACATATATGTGTGTTGTTTTTTAATGAGACAAAAACTAAGGAATGAGTTGTTAGAACAGAAGAAGAAGCTTTTGAGGATGACACCGTGCAGATGTGCAGATGAATCAGAAAGTACCAGAAGTGCCTGACAGTTACTTCAGCCTCATTATAATGCTAAAATCCCCCTCTGAATATTCACTCCAAGCCCTAATAAAAGGATCCTGCTTCCCTGTGTTTGGGAAGTAATGGCTTTGCAAATTATTCCCTGTGGTCTCCTTATTTGTACAAATAAAGATGATTTCATGAGGCAAGTCCACCTGGTGTAGTCTCTGTCTGCAACTCATCCAAAAAAGTACCAACTTTAGTCTGGTAACAGAATTCATCCCCTATAATTTTGTCACACAACAAGAATGATATATAAATGGAGTCACACGGTATGTAATATTCAATATTGGTTCTTTTCACTCAATAATTCTTTTGAGATCATCCACCTCATTGAATGTGTCAATAGTATACTCCTTTTTAAAGTAGTATTAAACAGTTTGTTTAAACGGATGCCCATTGAGGGGCATTTGGCTTATTTCCAGGTTTTGGCTATTACAAATAAATCTTTTATGAATATTGGTGTACGAGCTTTTTTGTAGACATACAGGTGGTACTGGAGAGAAAATATCTTTGTTTTTGCATGGTTAGGGCTTTACAAACAGGTTTTTCTAAGACATGGGTGAAAGAAGTCTTGGAAGTTACTGATAGATAAGAGATTGAACTCTCCAGCAGTAAATGCTTGCATTTCAAAGCAGGATGAGCCATGGATACATTTTATAGGTTAAAACTAGATGACTCTTGTTTTATTTTCACCCTGGAAACATTTATTTACAGTCCAAAGGGGAAGAAACAACGATCTTTCCCTTTTTTGATTCCAAGGAGAATTGGTCTATATTAGAAACAGTGGTTACCCTCTTTATCTCAGAAGTTGGGGAGAGGGAGACTATTCCTTTCCTAAGTATATTCTCAGATTCATAGTTTTGGTTCCTAACCTACAGTACACTCATGATCTGTAAGGTGATATTTATCTTACTCTCTTTGCATCAACCCAGAAAAAAGAAGAATTGGGGAAAATAGAAATAAAGTAGTTACTGTGTTAGTGAGTAACTAAAATGTCATTGACCTAAAATATTAATGCCTGCTTTTAAGGTATTACAAATTAACATAAATATTAAAAGTTACAATATGTTTTCACTTGACTGGAATTAAAACCCAAGAGTATGATTGTTCAGTTGTGTAGTGGGTATGTTAGTTAATACCATTTAAAAATTTTCCCATTATTTTCCCTAGTAGATATATTCTCATACAGTCTCATCAGCAATGTATGAAAATTACAGGTTTTCTGAATTCTCACAGCATTTGGTATTGTGACTTTTTGAAAAAAAATATGGCTGTTTTAATAAGTATATAATGATATCTCATTATGGTTTCAATTTGCATTTCCCTAATGTCTACATGTTGAATCTCTTTTCATGTGTTTATTTGATGTCAGCACAAGTTTTCCCCACTATCCAAGGTTCATATTATGTCTCTTCACTTTTCTAAAAGACCTACATTTTTCTGCTAACTGATAAAAATCCAATAAGGACTTTTGCTTTTATGAAATAGTGATTGCTTCTTCACTTTACACCGTCTTGGCTTTTGAAAGATTGCATAGGCATGCTCTACTTTGGGATAGTAGCAGAAACCTGTACATCCTCTCAGGTGAAATGTCTATTCATGTCTTTTGCTCATATTCTAATTTTAATGTTTGCTTTTTTGCTGTTAAGTTCTTAGAGCTCTTTATATGTTCTAGTTCCAAGTCTTTTGACAAATAAGTGGCTTTCAAATAATTTCTCCCACTCTGTAGCTTGCCTTTCACCCTCTTAACAGAGTCTCTCAGAGTAAATAAAGGTTTTTAGTTTTGATAAAATTTAATATATTGATTTATTTTGTGTATTATATTTTTTGGTGCTATGTCTAAGACTTCTTCACTAAATTCTGGAGCAGGATGAAGTTATCCTATCTCCTTATCTAAAATTTTTATGGTGTTTTGTTTTCTACTTGTATCTATGGTCCATTCTGAGCTAAGTGTAGAGATCCTAGAAATAAACACTCACACATATTTTCAGCTAATATTTGCGAAGGAGTCAGGAATACTCAGTGTGGAAAGGCTGGTTTCTTCAGTAGATGGTTTTGCAAAAACTGGATATTTATAAGCAAAAGAAGAAAATCAGGGCCATATCTTGTACCATTCACAAAAGAGAGAACGCATGAGCAGGGGAGGGGTAGAGAGAGAAGGAGAGAGAGAATCCCAAGCAGGCTCTCTGCTGTCAGTGTGGAGCCCTACAGGGGCTTGAGCTCACCAGCTGGGATGTGACCTGAGTGAAAATCAAGAGTTGGACGCTTAAAAAACAGAGCCACCCAGGCATCCCAATAACTCTGTTTTTAAAAAATACAATTTAAAATAGATGCATATTCATTAGGGTATACTTTAATCATTTAAGTATTAAAGTATTCATGGTCAGTTAGGCTTTGGTGATGAAAGGCCCCATTGTTCACCTCCTAATCACTACATAATTTTCACTTTGTTAACTAAGAAAGAGAACAGGTTCTGTGAGTTCTATGTAACAATGCAAAACTGAAATGTTGCTTAAAGAAGATGAGACTTAATTTTTATGATGCCAATACACTGAGTTGATTAATAAAATGTATGATTTTTATCTGTATCTTTGGCTCTACAGTGTTATATGTTTTTCTAGGATTCATTTTTGTTATTTTTGTGTTTGGTTTTTTAACTTATGTAATATGAGAAAGGAAGAGATAGAGAAACAAAATAGATGAAGACATAACCATTGAGAATGGAAGAGGAAGAATCTAAGACTGTAGGAGAGGCTTTTAGAAACTACCTTAAATATAATTTTGAACAATAACTATGGTAGAGGGTGAGGATAAAATTTTGTAATATGTGCTTATTGATCTTGATGAATAAGGACTCTAAGAAATTGAGGAGATATGAAAAGAAAATGAGAAGACAAAAGTAATTATTGTCTAATGGTTAATAAACAGAACTTTTGTTTAATGTCAACTATTATATTTCTATTAAAGGAATTAAACCTTAAACATATATCCACATTATATAAAATTTAAACCTATAAATAAATGTGTCTCAAACTTGATAAATTATTCTTAACAACTGTGTAGAGCATATGGTTACACCATGTCACTTTAATTTTTAAATATTTTATGTGTGAAATTAAAAAAATACTTTTGAACTTGCTTCCATAATAATGAGATCCATTATTTTTCCTATCAGAGTATATAAATTGCATTGTAATTGTTTCCTTGTTATTATAAACTAATCTTACCTTCCTTCTCTGCTTATTAAGTGTAAAATTGGATTTCCTAATATTAAAAAAAATTTTATTGACCTTATATAGTGAATATTAATCACTTTTCTGCAGCTTCTGAAATCCAAAATTTAAGCTCCAGTGAAGTGACTTACACTGTCATGGTGTTATTAATTAGTCCATTCACTCACTCATTATTCATCATGGCCGAAAGCAGTTTTGATCCTCAACTGTTCTCTCATAGCTGAATAGTTTAGCTAATTGGGGCATGAACTAAACTCCTTAAAGTGTTTTGCCTTTGTTTCTGAAGTAGAACAATGGGTTGGCTTTAATGTATTTCTTTTTTCAAATATTCTCAAATCAAAGAACAAGGCTACATCTTCCTGACATGCTTTTGCTCCTGTTCTCTAAATGCTATTTAGAGCTCTGCTCTAACATTAGAAGAGGTACTCATTCCATTTGAGCATGTCTTGAGATGTTTACTTTTTTTTTTCAAATGAGAGGGTGGAATGGCTAATATTTAAGGTGTTTAGAACTTCTAATGTATTATAATTCCAGTCATTTCAACATATCTATTTCTTTTATACTACCATATGAACCAATTTATGGGCAAAAAAAAAAGAAGGAAGAGAAAATGACATTTAGTATCATTATAGAGACCTCAAAATCATTTTATTTCACTCACAATAAAATATATATTAAATTTATCAATAAACAGAAAAGCTATCATATTTATATTTCTGTTAGGTTCCTTGAATTTATTCATAGTGCTACTAAAAAATCAATGTCCACAATACAATCAGGAGGAGGAGGAATAAAAAAAAATCAAACAAAATGAAGGCTTCTATCAGTGAATGGTTATATGACATCATGAACTCATTTTAATTTCCTCAATAGATTATTAAAATTTTGTAGGAAAACATGATGGGGCTTGCAAGCAGACTGAAATGAATGACAGTGATTTAGTGAATTTAATACTTTATTTTTTTGTCTTTGTCTGAGAACATGAAAAAATAAAAAGAAGGTCTGAAAATGGACAGTTTTATATTGTTAATTATCAGAGATTCTGTAGGATAAAAAGAAAATATTTTGGGGGTGGAGCAGGCCACAATGGCAGGCATGGAGGGGGGAGGGCACAAAAAGAAAAGAAAAAAAGAAAAAAGAAAATATTTTGTTGCAGGACAATTTGCAATCTTACCCTTCCTGTCTCCAAAAGCTGATCAAAAATCCAAGATCTAAAACATTACAATAGTGGCTAAAACATGCAAATATTGTATGTGGGGGAAGTTTATGGAGTGCAAAAATATATTAGAGAAAATGTAACTCTTGTTAAAGTCAGATCCTTTTAGAGTCAACGGTGTTCCCAATTACAGGTTTTTCCCAACAAAGAACTATAACTTTGATTTTATAAGAAGAGGCAAAGGAAGCAACATTATGACATGAAATGAGCTCTAAGATATCTTCCTTGCAACATTTGGCTTGAAACCTTCTTTCCCATGGTTTTCTAATCTTTTAGCATATTTTTACATATAATTTATGAAGACTGCTGATAGGCTTCACCAGAAATATTATGACTTGGTTTCTTCTCAATATCCATCATCAACAGATTAATAGACAAATACTACTAAATTACTGACATTACATAGAATCTAGTGCAGCAATTCTTAACCTTCATTGGATTTTAGAATTACCCAAAGAGATTAAAAAATAAAGCAGTGATTTCAGCTATCTAAACAGAATAATTAAATCAAGAGCCCCAGGAATGAAAACTAGTGTTTTAAATATCAAGCCTGGCTTCACAACCATTAAAAAGTGTGAAGCATTCTAATATATTTTAGATTATTTCACTAGCCTTTCTAGTGGATGAAGGGATTCAGTTAAACGAAT